TCCCACAGTATACTTCTCATCACACTTGAAACATAGGCCTTTCTCCCTTATTTTCCTGTACTCTTCCTTAGACAATCGTTTATAGGGAGCCTCCTTCCGTACTGCCGTCGCGGTGCCTGTACTCGCCCCCATACTTGGTTTACTGGTCAGAGTGACCGTGCAGGTTGGAGTTGCCTCAGGTGCCTTCGCTGCTGCCTTTCCTCCTATTGCGCTCACTTTCCCATTCCGATCAACGATTCCTTCCCCAACTTCTTGGACCGCCGTGGCGATATCTTCCACCAATTGGGCCCGTCGCATTATTTGGTCCAAACCTTTGGGCTCAGTAGCTTTTGACCACTAATTGTGCTACCAATTCTTCTATGTGCAAGTGTACACAATTGTCGCAGCAAGTAATAAAAGTTCGAATCCACAAAGATTAAATGCTTAAACACTCAATATTCACTCAAGAAAGTACAACAAGCAATGAGATTTTCTTCCAAATAATACTAAATAGTGATGAGATGAAAACCTTGAAATAAGTATCTTAATGCAAACACACGGTATAAGTTCGTTAAAAGTACCAAGCATCCACAATCACTCAGTATTATCTTGTAAAATAAAGGCGCAAGGGGGAGAGTAAGTCGACTCTTCTGGGCCACCCTAACCATGCTGTAGCATTAATGGAGTAAGTGCAGACAAGATGCTTTTCCAAACACCCTAGATTTTTTACTACTAACATTCATAGACAAACATCAATAGCATATACACACAGTTTTTATGACCAAGCTAGGTGATGTTTATCCCTAAGTCACCACACGCTAAACTTAAGTAGACTCTAGCCAGAGATGAAGGGTTTCGCTCCTTAACACATTTTTCCAAACATTATCAAAGAGGTATTTCAAAATGGTGATCAAGCACATTGAAACTAGAATGATAAACAACATCAACTCAAAGCACAGTTCCATTAAAACAAACAGCACGTTTACAGCCCAGAAAACAAGTCTAGAATATCTCCCCCTTACACAAGTTGTTAGCTATGCAAATCCATAAGGAGAGTTAAGCAAAATGTAAGACTGAAAATAATACAAAGATGAGAAAATGAAGAAAAAGGAGCTGAAGGTCAGCTCCAAACTGCCATTGAAGAGTCTTTTTCTACTCTTTGCTCTGCAGTTCTACGAGAGAGTTCCTTGGAGTAAGAGTGGACTTCTTCCAAGAACGAGTGAAGGGGAATGTTTCTTGAGGTGTGTGTCCTTGGAGGCTTCTCCTCTTGGTTGTATTTATACCCCCTTCAGATACTAGGGCAACAACGAGGACCTTGAGGGAATCAACTCTCACTTTTGGGTAAAACCTCCAATTACTGTGGTAAATCCCATTGTGCAGTCCTTTCATGTCAGCTTGTCGTTTTTTGCTGCTCTCTGAATCTGGATTTTTGATGCTGCAGCATTGTCAAAGCTGCAGCAAAATGCACCGAAATTAGTTCCATTGCAATTGACAATACTACCATGCAGAGAGCTGGTGTTTATGATCTTTTTAGCGCAAAAAACAGTGAATAGGGGTGCAAGTGATGCTATCTTTAGCTAATTTATACCAACATTATACCCAAATAACTCTCTATTTGGAGAGTTATCAGTAGCCAACACCTCCGCGCGTATCACAGGATCCAAATCCGTTTAGGAAAGCTCTTCATCGGACAGTTGAGGCAGGGAGCCGGTAATGCCTCAAACGTTTCCTGATATTCCGCCACACTACCTTCTTGCTTAATCGCGAGTAACTTGGCACATTGGCGGCCTTCCTTCGACCTTCGAAATCGTTCGAGTAATCGTGTCTTCAGGTTTTCCCAATCTAAAAATCGATCTCTGTTCTCATGGTATCGATACCAAGATAAGGCTACTCCATCAAAGCTTATCACCGAAACAATCATTTTCTCTTCATCAGGGAGTTTATGAATTTCAAAATATCGCTCGGCACGAAATAACCAAGAATCGGGATCCTTACCTATGAAGATCGGCATCTCAACTTCTTGAACTTGCTTCGATCATTTCCAAGATCGCGAATCTGGATGATTCTCGACGTTGCCTCTGGTTGTTTAGCCTTCATCGCGGAAGATTCACCCAGTTGCGAAATCTTCGGTGACTTGCCGCTGATGATCTCAGACATGAAGCCTTCTAGCATTGATTGAATTCGTTCGTTCATCGCTCTCTGTTCTTCGACTTTTCCACACAAAGTTGTGATCGCGCCTTTGATATCGGAAACTTCCTTCTCTGTAGCTTCGCAGCGAGTCTCAAGCTCCTTCACAGTCATTGTCGATCTCAATTCCCAGTTTCGAACAACTCTGATACCAATTTGGGAGGAATTTCCTCACTGAACTTCTTGGAATTGAATCAAAAGAGCCCGTAGGCGTTAGAGAGGCAGCCCACCAATTCGAGAGGGTAGGTAACTCTCCTTACATACAAACTATCACTGAAAACCAAGACACCTCTCTCTTACTCACTAGGGGGATATTTCTACCCAATCCCCAAGCAGCCCCAACCCATATTCTCTCTCCTAACCGTTACAATCATTCTCCCTTATTATTCCCTTCATCCTCAAGTACAGTGCCCTTAGTACCCCTTCTAGAATATGTCTTAGTTATCGGGGGTCTAACATATTGCTCATCTCCTTAAGGTTTTTGTCTCTTTCAGTTTTTCTTTTATCATTTTCTCTTTCAGTTTTTCTTTTATCATTTTCTCTTTGAACAATTTGTTCCTTTTCATCTTTTCAATGATAAGCTTGTATCTTGTTTAAAAAAAAGTACACTTTTTTATTTTTTTATTTTTAACAAGAAACAATCTTTTCATTGATAATATGAAAAGGAAGAAAAAAGTTCAAGGATACAAGCTCCCGAAGGAAGCAAAAAACGAATAAGAAAAACAACCAAAACAAAGAAACCAAAAACCCATGAGAGATTTGAAGCCCAAGAATAGACGTTGAAAAACTTTTATCAATAAAGCTTGCCAATTCAAAAGGACCGGCCGACTACTGAGGAAGCTAAAACAATCACTTAATACAAACTGATCGTTAGAATGAAGAAGTAAAGAATCTGAAACCTCCCTCTACCAAGAGAAGACAAGAAAACTTTTATCTCAACCCTCAATACTGCTGCAAAGCAGAACCAACCAAAAACGTATTGCCTATAATTAAAGCCTACCTATTAGTGATTGGAACTAGGGTAAGACCTACAGCTTCAAAATATTTAAAAAAACTTTGATTATCAGCACAAGAAGCTTGTTCGACTACCAAAGGTTGCTTCTGAGAAGGAGAAAGAATGGTATCCATTTTTTAGAGGAGCGTAAGTGGTTGTTATCCTCTGCAAAAAGTAAATTAGAATCATTTGTTAGGAAACCTCTGATAAATCTTCATTAACAACCTCTTGCTCTTCTAAAAATAGAGGTTCTTCCAAAAATTCTGCTGAATCTTCACCACTGACACTAATATTGAATTCTTCTTTACCATCGGATAAAACGTTATCATTGATATGTATATTTGACTGCTCACTTGTTGAATTAATGATACCATGGCTGAGAGGTGAATCGTCCTTCTGAAACCTCCTCTTTCCTTTATTAACCTCGGTGAGAAATTCTTTTTTCTTGAATAAAAAAAGAGCAGGGGAGGAATAAAAGTCCTAGGTGACAGTATATCAGGGTTAAAACGGCAGTAAACCTTTTTGTGTGGTCAATTTGCCTTGAAAGTAAAAATAAGATAGAAATAATTCAGCAAAGATGTTCAATGTGGATCGTCAGTCACATTGTGATGTGTTTTTGTGTCAATTGGAAAGCGAAGACATGGTTCTCTTGTTTTTCTCTCGTTCTTTCAGCAGGAAAATTTGGGATTCTGTGTTACATATTTTTTGCTTATTGGTTTGCCAAAGTTTGCTGAAAGGAAATGTGTAGAAATTATTAAGGGTATTTTTTTTTCAGAGGAAGACTTAAAAAGTTGCGGATTAATGTAGTAAAATAAATAATGTGGAATTTTTGGTAAGAAAGAACTAATAATATATATAATGAATTTTTCTAGGGAGTAGGGGTGATTATAGATTATTTTATTTTTGTATAAGAAACTGAATGTCATCAAAAGGAGAAACTAAATATCATTTTAGATTGGTCGAAGCTATATTCCAGATGGGTGTCACTAGATAAAGAGACTGGGGTATCTTTTCTTGCCATTTTGTCCAGTTGGGAGTGTTTCCTGTAGGGTTTGGTTTGGATTGTGTGATTGTAATTGTGAGGCTTCATAGGTATTCTTCCTGTAGGATTTGGTTTGGATTGTGTGATTGTAATTGTGAGGCTTCATAGGTTTTGATTTGGGACCGGGTGGTTTCTGTGACTTGTAATCTGGGACATATTTTGCTTTTATTTATTTATATTTTTGGTGGGTGGGGTTCTTCCTCTTCTTGAAAATCTAACAATTTTGAGTTATGGGATTTGTGGTGGATAGGGTGGTTGCCAAACTTCAAAGATGGAGTAAGTCTTCGTCTTGGAAGAAAGTATAATTTCTCTGATTCCAATATTTGCTTAAACTCAATACCCTCTTGGTTTAGTTTTCTGGTTTCTACGAATCCACATGTACAAATCATGCAAGCAACACAATTAATTTCTGACGCACCATTATGACCACATGAATGCAAAAATCTAAGTGATTTGAAATCAGATTTCCTAGACTCGAATGATTTGAATTGAAAAGAAGGTTGTGTGGAGTGAGCCCTGTCAGTTGTTGACAGGTTGAAACATGAAATATTATGGTATTTCCTCGTTCTTCTGTTTTATTCTTGATTATTCTAATATATTTGCAGGAAAGGTTTATCCGAGTCGGAGATAAACTTTCTTAAAGAGGTATTTATTTTCTTATCCTTCCAAATTTGAAACTGTTTTCTTTAACTCTGATTATTGTCTTTCTATTCTTTTGGCTTAACTGGAAGATTTTTTGTAATCTACTTTTGGGCTTCAGGGCCATTTGCCCCTCTTCCTTATTTTTTTAGGGCCATTTGCACCTCTTCCTTATATTTTAGGAAAACTATAATGGGTGGAAAAACTAGTTGCCATATTTTCAAATTTATTACACGAAAAATAATTTGGAAATATGGCAAATTTTCACTCGAATACCACTGTATACCATTTTTTAAAAAATTTTATATTAACTATATCACTGTATACCTAATCTAAATTGCATCATTGATATATGTATATTTAATATACGGGTTCTTTTGAACAAAGGAAAGTTACGTATATCATGTTCGTACATTATTTCCAAATAAACAGTAGTAAAATCTAATGACTAAAGCAGTAAGGTGTAAAAAAGGTTAAAGTTTTCCTGGGGACCTTGTCCTCTGCCAACTTATAAACACATTGGACAGAGCTGTGATATTACTTTTCCAGTAAGGGTATTCCAAAGTTGTGATACTTTTGAGATTAATAACAAAAACAAGTGATTGAGAAAGTCATTGCATTACAGGGGTCAGTTCTTGTGGCAGGCAGGGTCTTTGCAGTTCTTTGGGGTTTATGGATTGAGAGAAATAATAGGATTTTTAGGGGGGTTGAGAGCTGGGGGTGTTGGGGCCCACATTTCCCTTTAGGTCTCGGTGTCCAAAGTCTTTTGTAATTGTTCGTTAGGTTTGATTTTACTTGATTGGAGCCCCTTTTAGTTGGACTCCCTTTGGCTGGGCTCTTCTTTTGTATACCCTATGTTTTGTTTCATTATTCTCAATGAAAGTTGGATTTTCTCCTTAAAAAAAATTGTTCAACAAGAGGTTTCAATCGGTGGCATTTGTTTTATCGCTTTTTGAAGATTCTTCTTCGATTTCTTTGGAGTTTTGACGCCCTTTGCTAGATATGAAAGTCTGGGAGGTTTCAACCTTACTCTTGTTGGTGGGAAGGTCTTTGTTTGTCTAGGGAGGAGGGATGTCCGTTTTTGGGCCCCAAACTCTTCTCCCTTCGTCTCGGTTTCAGATGCCTGGGATAGGAGGTCCTCTTCTTGAAAGATGAGGAGATTGTAGTGTTGTCGGAGCTATTATCTTATATTTCTCGGCTAATCTTTCTGACGAAGGTGATGCTCATTGTTGGGGCTTGGAAAATTCGGGCCTTTTCTCAGTTAATTCACTTTTTGAGCTTGTTAGTGCTGATTTGCGTCTTTCAAAAGCGTTTTTATCTTCTCTTTGGAGCTCGGGCAGTCCTAAACAAGTGAACATGTTAGCTTGGATTCTCCTATATGGAAAGGTCAATACAGCTGAGGTTCCCCAAAGCAAGTCCCCTAAAATGGCTTTGCAGCCATCTATATGTTTGTTGTGTGCTGAATAGCGTGAAAATTTGATTCATGTGTTCTTCTTCTGTCCATTTGCTTCAGTTTGTTGGAATTTATTCTTTCAGATGTTCCATTGGATTGGGTTTGGGACTGTGAGGCTGCAAGTAATATTTTTTAGCTTCTAAGTGGAGTTATTTTGGTGTGTAAAGTTAACTTTCTTTGGATTAATGGTTATAAGGCGATTCTTTCATAATTATGGTTCGAGAGAAATCAAAGGGTCTTTGAAGATTCTCGTTGTTCGTCGCTAGAATGTTTCAACCTTGCCAAATTGAAAGCCTTTTAATGGTGTGCTCTTTCCGATATTTTCTCTTCCTATTCTCCTAGTATGACTTGTATCGTATGAATTGGGAAGCCTTTATAACTTCTTTGTAGTTTGTTTTTGCTTTTTTCTCTTTCACTTACTTAAGAGTTTACAACCTTGAACAATTTTGTTCCTTTTCATCTATCAAGGAAAAGTTCGTATCTTATTAAAAAAAAAAAAAATCAAGGTCTTGTCCCCAAGGGGCAGCCCAGTTAGCAAGGGCTTAGAATCTCTTGGTCATTCTGGTTTAGAAGTTTCAAGTTCTAACTTTCTGGTGAGCTTAATATCAAAAACTCTTGATATCTTTTGGGTCTGGGACCTGGAGCAGGCGAAATTTAGGCGAAATTTCGACGATCTTCTCCTGTAGTTATTTTTTTCATTTGTTAAGTATTCTCTCGCTTTCCTATGATTCCTTTCTGTTCTCTTCGCTTTGGAAGGTTAAAGTCCCAAAGGATATCAAAGTCTTTGCTGGGCAGGTCTTGCATGGGAATGTCAACACTTTGGACCATATTCAGACGCACTCTTCTTACTTTTTGGGTCCTTGATGGTGTGTTTTTGTGCAAAAATGTATTGGAGGATCTTGATCAATTGCTTTAGAGGTGTCAGTTCATCCATTTGATTTGGGGTTGTTTTATGGAGAGCTTTGGGGTTTCTTTGATGCGGAATAGTGATTGTTTGTTTTTCTACGTTCCTTTGCTAGTTTGTGGGTATTTGACGTGGGAAAAATAACAATAGTGGTTGAGAAATTGTGGGAGGCTGTGTCAGATTTGATTAAATTTGACAGTTATTTATGGACTTTGTTTTCGAAGGTTCTTTTTAATTACCTGTTAGAGGTTATTCTTTTGGATTTGAGGCCCTTTCTTTAGTTCTTTTGGGAATGATCTTGCACATTCTTTCATTTTTCTCAATAAAAGCTTGGTTTCTTATAAAAAACACTTTATTTTTCCTCTTTCATATTCATTCGATTAGGAATAGTTTACTACTCCATGTGGCCAAGTGTGACCAGCATGTGCAGACTTTGAAAATTCCAGGAACTATTTTGACAATTTATTTAAGTATTCAAAGCTAGTTATATATATATTTAAAAATTGTTTGCATAGTACTTGCTAGCTGTCAAGGTAAATTATCTCATATCATGCAGCTTTTGGTGAGTTTTTGTTTTTGTTCATTATACTAGTTTATGGTATTTGTTAACAATGATTCAATTGGTTTGCAATAGAACACTCACTTGCAATCTAAAATTCTTCAATCAGAAAGCACACCTGAAGCTATTCTTGGTATGTTAAACTCTTTTGGGGGTTTCCTCAATTTTTATTTTTCTCATTATTAGGCATAAGAGTACAAAATTCTATGACACTTAATGATTTACAGTTCTTGAGAAGATTAAAAGGCCCTTGTATGAAAAGCATCCCATGACTAAGTTTGCGTGGACAATAGCCGAAGATACTGATACTGTAAGTAACCTTGTCAATCAGAGCGTTGAGAAAAAATTCCATCAATTCCAGTGACTGACATTTTAAATTTTTGGATATTTCCAATCTTTTATGGTTTTTATTTAAAGATGGAATGGTACAACATTTGCCAAGATGCCCTAAGAAAAGTCGACGAGTTGTATCAGGGAAAAGAGACTTCTGATATCATTCAAAACAAAGTTTTGCAGGTACATATAATCCTCACATTGGTTGAAATATATTAAAAAAGAACAATTTATGAAGGTTATTTTCTTACGGTATGCGCTTATGTTTGTTTTGATTTAGATACTGAAGGGAAAGGAAAGAGAGATGAGGCTTCGGCTTGATAAGGAATTAAAATCCTTTGATTTCAGTGGTTTCCATGCTGAATGTCTCACAGACACATGGATTGGCAATGATAGGTAGCATCTGTTGCACGAACTATATTATAATAAAGTATTACATCATTAATGTCTGCTTTGCATCAGGTGGGCCTTTATTGATTTAAGCGCAGGCCCTTTTTCATGGGGACCTGCTGTTGGTGGAGAAGGTGTACGAACTGAGCTAAGCCTACCAAATGTGGAAAGGACGGTTGGTGCTGTTCAAGGTACTGATGACTTTACTAAGGCATCTCAAAACTTTGTTAATTATTTAGAACATATTTATCTTAATTAAAAAACTTATTCGTGAGTTGTCAACTAAGGTCTTTTTCCTCAGCAACTGAGATGGAGTCAAGGATTTTTACATTTCCAATTAAGGCCAGATTGATCTCTTCAGGTTTCTTATAAAAAAAAAAAGGCAGATTCATTTCTCAAAACAGTAAAAGGAAAAACGAATTCTACCTTTGAGACAAAACTTTGTTGAATCACCTTGTGGTTGTGGATACAATTGGTCATTATGGCTGAAAATGTATGCAAAGGGGTTTAGCTTTAAGGGTCCATAAGGCCATAAGACACAAAGGCCATGCCATAGAAGACATTTGAAGGAAGATAAAATGGCTGAATTTATTAGCTTGTTGGAAGTGTTGGATCCGGTTTAATTATCATGTGCTGGAGATGCTTTAGGTTGGAATTTGGAGCCTTCAAGGAAGCCATTCGTAAATTCTTTATTCAGTCAACTATTCAAGTCTATTCCCTTGTAGAAGATTGACCCTAACAACGGCAGTGCAATTGCTTAGACCTTTGAGATGAAAGCAGTGCATATTCCAGAACTTTAAAGGTAAGTCACTTATTTTCACCCATCCTCCAAAACAAATCGACACTTTGCTCCTGCCATGCTCTTCAAGATTTCATTTTTCCAATTTCACATGATGAAATCCATCTATCTTTTGCCATTGAGCCAATCAGTATTCAACAATCCTCCATTCTTGAATCAAAGTAAAGTTTTGTCTGCAAAGAAGGGGTTGACTTGACAATTTTTCGAGAAGACACTTTTTAGGGATGCAACAATTTCCTTCCAGTTATCATGTGTACAAAATCTTGAGATAACCATGACATTATCCCAAATAATTTCCACTACTTCGGAGTTCGGATTCCTTTTTGACCCAATAATGTCCTCAGTGCTTCTTACTAGAATGGCTGTTTGACTTCTCCCCTTTTCAAGTGTAGGAGATTTCTTTCCATCTGCTTAGAAAATGGAACTACTCTTTCCCTTGTGAATTCTGACTTTCTTGATAAGCCTACCTTCATTATGTCCCGAAAAGCCAGCCAACCGCATTTCCCATGGCCAACATTGACCAAAAGCCTCCTTGTACCTTCAGTAGGAGGCCACACTGTTGGTTCAACCTGGATTCCACCATCTGACCTTCAAACCAAGCTACTTGAGATTACTTCAGTTGCAGAACATCGTTACAATCCATATCCTCCATGAAAAAACCATTCGGCTTCACTCCATAAATTTTTTGAACAAGAAACAACTTTTCATTGATCGGCTTCACTCCATAAATAATAATGCTATTTTCCACACAGCTATTAATCCCCATAAAAAAAAAGGCTAAGAATCAAACTCTTACAACACCAGTAAATAAGCGGAATAGTCTTGAATCTCAATCAAACCTTCAAACACGAACACGCTTCAAAGGGGTTGTCGGGAAGTCTTTTTTGTAACAGTTGGCTTTGGGGACCGCTTTTTCCCTTCTTTTGTTTTTGTATCTTCTCCTCTTTGATAATGAAATTTTCAGTTTCTTATAAAAAAAGTCTATTCCCTTGTATAAGGAGGCTTTTTCAGGCCTAGGGAAGCCAAAAGTCTTAAAAGAATCAATATTTTGATATGGATCTGTGAGGGTCCTATTAAGGTTAGTTTGGGAATAGTATTAGTATTTTAGTTAGGGGCATTATAGTAATTAGTCAAGGGTGAGTTTGTTATAAATAGAAGTAGTAGGGAGGGAAGTAAGACATCTTGGAGAATAGTTAAGGTGAGGAACTTGAGAGAGTTCTTGGGAGAGAGATAGCCCTCTCGAAAGGTTATCAATATTGTAGTATCTCTTCGGATATTGCACTATAGTTACTTAGTTTCGTTGGGTGTATTTGGGATCCTAACAAATTGGTATCAGAGCAAGTTCATCTTGGTCATGGATTGTGATCGTGTATTGGAGTTAATGTCAGAGGTTCAGAGATGTTTGTCCAAAGAAAGTGATTTTATGAAACAAATGCAGCAGAAAATAAAAGAAGTAAGAAATATACGGACAACAATTAGGCTGGGATATCGAAAGCAGGGGCAAAGGGTTGGTGGAAGGTGACGATCGTATCCAAGGACGTGGACTGGAGCTCGATGGAAACTCAACTGAGGGGAAGGAATGTCTTCGGGCAGGGATTCATCAAGAACAAAGGAGAAATTATCCTCAACCGAGTATGAAGAAGCTAAGAGGAAGAAGGCAACAACCATATCAGAACTACGAAGAAATTGAATGTCCAAGAAGGAATGGCAAGAGTATGAAAATGGTGGGATCGGTCTTGCACAATGGTTTACCGTTGAAGAAGAGGCGGAAAAGGAAGAGAGAAAGAATATGAAAGGCTCGGATGCGATTTGAAAGAGCTCGGCTATGACATTTGAAGATTGGGCACGAGAGAATAGAGAGGATACAACTTGTGACGGAGGTTGGATGTCGGAAGAGAGGCCGACCATGGTTGGTTCTGTGGCAAGAAACGAAGAGCCGAAGGGGAGGGGGATTGAGTACTCGTGAAGCTCGGGGAAAGTGAAAAATAATGACGAAAATGAAAGAGAAAAGAGAAACAGGATGGATGGACCGTTGCTATCACCACCGACGTCTCCACTAAACCATCAGCACCGTCGCAAACACGCACCTCCATCGTCCTACCATTATCGACCACCTTCGACTTTTATCCCCATTTGCCATCTGATGTTGCCAACATCTGCCATACGTGCGTACACCACCGTCGTCACACACCACCGCTGCCATTGTTTGTCAGGCGCCATCGTCGACACCGTCTGCCAACCTACCCACATTTTCCCTCACGGCGGCCGATCCAGCTAGGGTTTTCTTAATTGCTATTTAACTAAGTTTCTAGTTTTGTTGATGTTAAAAGTCTGTTTGTTTTCGTGTATGCACACCTTGAGGACAAAGTGTCTTAGAAGTGCGGGGTAATATGAGGGTTCTATTAGGGTTAGTTTGGGAATAATATTAGTATTCTTGTTAGGGACATTATAGTAATTAGTTAGGGGTGAGTTCGTTATAAATAGAAGTAGTAGGGAGGGAAGGAAGGCATCTTGGAGAATAGCTAAGGTGAGGAACTTGAGAGAGTTCTTGGGAAGGATATCAATATTGTAGTTTCTCTTTGGATATTGTAATATAGTTACTTAGTTTCGTTTGGTGTATTTGGGATCTAACAGGATCCTCTCAAATAGCAGCCTTAGCATGACTGGCGTCCTTCAAAAGAAGCCCCCTAATTTTCTGATTATGCCTTCAGTTTGTATCCTTTGCCTTGCGGATTCCAAAGAGAGTCACCTTTTTTTCGACCGTCATTTCTCACTGGGTTGCTCGTTATGGCTATTTAAAAGATTTCGGCTTCTTTGGGGTTTGGGCTATCTCAAATGACTACAAATGCAATATTTTGAATCTCTTGATGGGTTCTTCTTTACACAAGAGCACATCTCTTATGGTCCAATGGAGTTAAAATTATTATTTCAGAAATTTGTTTGGAACGAATCTTTCAAAGCAAAAATAGTTGTGTTTCGAATTGGTTTGATATAGCTGCTTTTTTTTGAACAAGATACGAACTTTTCATTGATAAATGAAAAAGGAACAAAATTGTTCAAAGATACAAACTCCCTAAGGAGTGAACATAAGAGAAAAAATTAAAATAAAAGGAATAAAAAGGCCATAAACATAAAGAAACCTCATTAAAAGGGAGTTATAAAAGCCTTCCAATTCATACAAAGCATACTAGGAGAATAAGAAGAGAAGAGATCGGAACGAACACATCATTGTGAGGCTTTGAAGTTGGCTATTGAGAAGCACTCAATTGGAGAACGATTCTTGCCTTAAGAAACCCGTTGATTTTTTTCAAACCACAATTCGGATAGGAGAGCTTTTATCCCAAAAGCTCAAAGTAGATTGGTTTTAGAGTTTGCTCGCAAACCAATGAAAAGCTGTAATATAATTTGAGGCACCTCCAGATCCCACACCCATGAAACTTCAAACATTGATAGGAATTTCTTCCAACAAACCTCCGCACAGATACATGAAAAAAAGACACGTCTTTGGGTTTCTCCACTTGCCCTTCACATTAAACAAATCGATGGCTGCATCAAAGTATCGGGCATTTTCTTTTGTAACGTCTCTGTAGTGTTAACTTTGCCCATATGAAGAATCCAGACCAGAATATAGCTTCTCAAAGAGCCTCGCAGTAGTGTTCTCTCTCTAATTCATGTTTGGTTTATAATAACATAGATTTGCTTGAATTTGGAAGCTTTTATATTTTTTGATTAGTTTTATTAGAGTTTTATGGTTTAGTTATTGGTTTGGTTGATTGGTTCGTATCGTTTTTGTAGTTATTTCTTTGTATCTTATCTCCCTTTTCATTACTTCAATGAGAGTTCTTGTTTCGTGTTAAAAAAAAAAAAAAGATACAAAGGCTATCCCAGAGTTGCTCAAGAGAATTTTCCTCATTAGTGAAGGTTTGCCTATTGCGCTCCAGCCATAAAACTCAACAAATAGCAGCACTAGCTAGGAGCCTAATTTCTCTTCAAGACTTTAAGTTGCCATAAATTTCCTTGAGAAAATTAATTTATCACATTAGAGTTTTCCTCCTCGTCAGTTATAGAAATTTAACATATCTAAACCCAAGAAGGGTTCTACACAGATCAGGATTGATCTGAGAATCTTTTGTTAATCATCATGAAAACATCTCATCACAACTAGGGTTGAACAATCTCAGTTTCTGTGCAATTGAACCACAACATTGTCTCTGAGTTTTTAGAATCCCATGTTTCAATTTCAGGATTATTCATCGTTGGAGTCTCCCTTGTAAGAAATAGAGTTCTTTTTTATTGGAATAGATGAGAAGAAGTTTATATGATTCTTGAATTGTTTAAGTTTTCATATATTTTTGGTGTGTATTGGATTGATTTCGGTTAGGGCTAGAATTCAAAGTTTTATAGAGGAACTTTGTTACCAAGAAGAAACATGTTTGCTTCTAATGCTCTCACTTTGATTAGACATGATGTAAATTTTATAAGCAGCCTACTCATGAGAAAACGAGTAATGCTTTTAATCTAAAGAGTCATAATTGCAAAACAAATGAAGAAATCACAGCCAATTGTTTGCCTAATCATTAGAATCTTCAACTAGGCTGGAAAATTCCAGCTGTTAACAACTAAGCATTTTATCTTCTGATCAAACCAAGGTTTTAAAAGTTTTAAGGCGGGCTTGAGACTTTTCCTCAAGGAGAGGCGAGGCGTAAGCCTTGAGGCGGTATGAGGCGTAAGCCTCATTTTAAATGGAAAGAAAAAAAGAATAAAATTCATAAAAGATAAAACATTAAACTTTGTATTCCTAAGATTATAACATTCCTATAAAAGAGTTCAAATCATGGTGGCCACCTACGTAGGATTTAATATCCTACGAGTTTCCTTGTCAATCAAATGTTGTAGGGTCAGGCGGTTGGCCCGTGATTAGTCGAGGTGTGCGCAAGCTGGCCCGGACACACGGATATAAAAAAAAACTTTCCTATAAAAGCATAAAACACACCTAATAATGAAGTTGCTCAAGACTAATAAACCAAGGCAGTAGTAAACCAACAAAAATATAAAAGAAAATAAAACAGAAAGTGAATAGCATATATAAAAGAAAGAAAATGAATTGAAATTTGAAATCGATTAAAAAATTAAATTAAACAAAAAAAAAAGTAGAAACAGAAAGCTGAACAAATAAGGAGAAAAAAGAGAAAAAATGGAAGAAAAATCATACTTTTCTGTTGTGTACAGAGCACCACTGCTTGAATTCTAAAACACCACCGCTTGGGAATTCTCTTTGGTTGGACTATCGAAATGAAGACAAAATCAAGGGTATCTTTTAGTGTGACCTTTGTAGATTTTATGTGTTTTTTCCCTGCCCTTTCATCAAATTTTCGGTGACTCTTCATTTTGCAAATGGTACAATATATAATATTTTTGTAAAATAATCCTATAAACGTTTGGGATCTCCAAAGCATATAATTAATTGCCTTTTTGGTGGTTTAATAATTTCCAACAATCGAGAATGGCATTAACTTCATTCCATAACTGCCAAAGCCCAGTCTTCCCTAGTCAAAATAAAGGCTTACACCTTTAACGCCTCACAGGTGTACGCACAGAGGCTTACACCTCTACTAACAAAGGCGTAAGCCTCTTGTGATTTATGGTAGTCGTAGGTTTCGAGGAACCATCTTCACGCCTCAACCGATTTTAAAAACATTGGATCAAACAACTAAGCACCTTGTAGTTGATGTCAGTTGAAGGTCTTATTTTCCTCTAGAAACAAAAATGTATGTTATGCTTCTTTTTGTAGACTAATGAGAAACTAACATTTGAACTCAAAGTTGACCTTAAATGGTTTCCTGAGCCAAACGAGTCCTACTCTATTTTTAGTTAAGCATCATCATGTATTTTTACTGGTTTACCTGTTTCAGAAGTTTGTTATTTATTTATGGGAGCAGGTAATTACTGAGCATTTTTATCTTGTGAGAAAACAACTAAGCACCTTATAGCTGATGTCATTTGAAGGTCATTTTCCCCATAGAAACAGAGTGTCAGTTGTGCTAATTTCTAGACTCATGAGAAACTTAACATTGGAACTTAATGTTGGCTTTCAATGGTTTCCTGAGCCAAACAAGTGTTACTCTATTTTTGAGTTAAACGTATTATTTCTTTGTACTGGTTTACTGTTACAAAAATTTTTACTTTACTTATGGCCTGCAGAAATCTCAGAAGATGAGGCTGAAGATCGCCTGCAAGATGCTATTCAGGAGAAATTTTCCGTTTTTGGTGATGTATGAACCTTCCTTAGAAACCAGTAAGCAATYGATGTTGGAAAGATATAGGGGCCAATAAAAAAGATCCGTTACATCTTTGACAATCTTTAAATCTTTTTATAACTTAAGTACAACATAATTTCAGTTTAACAAGTCTAGCCAGATGCTCTAGTTGGATGACTGTGTTTTGGTTTTAAAGTTAAACGCAGGCAAACAGCAAGTCCATTGTAAGCTTGTGTTTAAGTTTGCATGAGAACCTCATAATTGTGTATTAATGAATTAATAATAAGTGGATGATAGGATATTAATTAATCAATCAAAACTTGTGCACGTTGATTAAGTTAAACCCTAAACTTGAATAAGCATTGAGATCAATACTCTTAATTATTATTGAACATTTATGGCTAGTTTTGGGCATTTGTATGACTAGAACTATATGATACTATTTTTGTGTGTACGAGATCTTGTGGTTGTGGGTATCTTTTGTTGGCTTACACGTGTATAGGCATGTTAAGTATAAAACTGAAAATGAATTTTGTAAGGAAAGTGCTTGTTTTTGTTTTTTTTGAACAAGATACGAAATTTTATTGATTAATGAAAAGGAACAAGAAACAAAGCTGAAAACTTAAAAGTGCTTGTTTCTTATCAAAAACTTCGGAAGGAATTCGATTTTTCATTTGAGCCATGTAAGTATGATGGACATAATTCAAAGAATGCATTTCTCACACGCTGTAGCAATAAAATAAATCCGTTCTGCTGCTTTGGGTGGTGATATTTTGAGGAAACATTTCATTAAGTGGTTTGTTTGGTGAAAATTTTTGTCACGTCTACTAGCTTTCACCTATTATTGGGAAGCTTCTCCTTTGTTCTTGGTATTCAAAAGCTTTGGTACATCTGTAAATAAGTAGTTCTAAATAGTAGAAATAAAAAAAAAGTAGTTCTAAATATTCTTTTTTTATGTAACTTAGTTTAAGCCAGAATATTTTTGATTTGCATAGTATTATTTTGCCAAGATGTTTATTAGGTTTTAAAGCTTCTTCTTTGAATTGTCCAATGCTTTGGAATTTGCAGAAAGACCATCAAGCCATCGATATTCTTTTAGCAGAGATTGACATATATGAGCTTTTTGCTTTCAAAAATTGCAAGGGAAGGAAAGTTAAACTTGCTCTCTGTGAAGGTTATTTCTTTCTTCTTTTAGACTGCTTGCTTGAATATTATCTCTCTATTTTATTTCAATTGACCTTGTTGCCAAATAATTGCGTTTCTCCCTTTCTCAAAGGATGTAATGAAAACCGAGAAGGATTTTTATTAGAATGTCAAAAAAGTGTGTTCTCTAATGAACAGGAAAGCTCCTTTTATAATAAGGGAGCTGGAAACTAGCCGTTAGGCTTATTACTAACTAACAGCTAACAGGAAACTAGCTGTTAGGCTTATAACCAACTAACAGCTAACAACTTTAGGTTTTAACTAACAGCCTAATAAAAAATATGCTTTACAAGACTACATCAGAATTCACCCCCCGAAAAATAGAACTCGTCCCTGAGTTATGTTGCCAAAGAAAAACCGTCCGGAGCTTCATAATGTGTCAAATCTGCTACATTGAATATAGGGCTGAAGTTGTATTCCGGGGGAAGCTCAATCTTAAAAGCATTAGGCCCACACTGTTGGATAATTGAGAAAGGACCGATTCTCTTTTTATTGAGCTTATGAAATTTCCCTGGTGGAAACCGACCTTTTCGTAAATAAATCATAACGAGGTCGCCCGGTTTGAAATCATGTTGTCTTCGTTTGTGATCAGCCTGTTGTTTGTACTTTGAAGTAGTAGCCTCCATATGCTCCCGAACCTCCTGATGTAGTTGTACAATGCGTTCTGCCATTTGCTCAGCTTCTACATTAATATCAACATAGGAAGGGATATTAGTAAGGTCTATCGTTAGACGGGGTAATTTAGTGTAAACTACCTCAAATGGAGACTTCCCTGTGGTTCGATTTTTCATGTGATTGAAGGCGAACTCGGCTTGCGCAAGAGCAATGTTCCACTGTTTTGGTCGGTTACTAGATAGACACCGAATGAGATTACCCAAAGTGCGATTGGTTACTTTCGTTTGTCCATCAGTTTGGGGGTGGCTGGTGGTGCTGTACTTGAGTGAGGTGTCAAACTTGCGCCATAGTGTGCGCCAAAAATAACTAAGAAACTTGATATCCCGATCAGACACAATTGTCTTAGGAATGCCATGTAGCCGAACAATTTCTCGAAAAAATAGGTTAGCAACGTATACCACGTCTGAGGTCTTTTTACATGCTAAGAAATGGGCCATCTTACTGAATCCGTCCACCACTACAAGCACGGAGTCAAACCCACGTTGAGTTTTTGGAAGGCCAAGGATGAAGTCCATCGAAAGATCTTCCCAAATGGATACTGGGATTGGAAGTGGGGAGTAAAGACCGGTATTTTGGGCTTGTCCTTTATTCGTTTGGCATATGAAGCATCGAGATACATAACTAAGAACATCTCGACGTAGTTGGGGCCAATAGTACCGAGAGGATACTAAATTATATGTCTTGTCCCGGCCAAAATGACCAGCTAAGCCTCCAGCATGTAATTCTTTAATAAGAGCTTGTGGAAGTTCGAGGGATGCACAAGTGGTCCCCCTTAAAGAGGTACCCATCTAGTAAATGAAAGTCTTTTGTGTGACCATTATTTGTACAGTGGGTCCAAATGTCTTTGAAGTCATCATCAGATTTATAGGTGCTTGGTAAGCTGTCAAAAGCTATAATTTCCCCTTGTAGTATAGTTAAAAGTGTTCCTTTCCTACTCAAAGCATCAATGGCTTTATTGGTAACTCCCGATTTATGTTTGATTACGAAATCAAATTGTTGGAGAAAAGAGAGCCATCGAGCATGCATTCGGCTTATATGTTTCTGTGTATTCAAGAACTTCAAAGAAAAGTAGTCAGTGAATAGAATAAACTCCTTATTAAGGAGGTAGTGCTCCCATTGCTTAAGGGCACGAACTAAGGCATATAATTCTTGCTCATACGTGCTCCAATTTTGGCAAGAAGGACTTAATTTTTCGCTAAAATATTCAATGGGGTGGTTATTTTGGGATAAAACAACTCCTATTCCGATTCCTGAGGCATCTACGCTAACTTCAAAGGGTTGAGAGAAATCGGGTAGGGTAAGGACATGATGTTCTACTAATTTCTGTTGGATGGTCTGAAAACTGTCAATTTGACTAGGTCCCCAACAGAATTTCCCCTTTTTTAAACAATCTGTAAAGGGCGCAACCAATGTACTGAAGTTACGAATAAATTTCCTATAAAAAGATGCTATTCCGAGAAAACATTGTATGTCTTTGACAGTTGAAGGAATAGGCCAATTTGAGATAGCTTGGGTTTTCTTGGGATCCATTTTTACTGTATTTTGTCCAATAATAAAGCCTAAGAATGATAACTCAGTGGTGAAGAAAAGACATTTCTTAAGGTTGATAACTAAAGCATGTTCGTGTAATGTAGAGAAGACTAGTTTAAGATGATTTATATGGTCATTTTTTGTTTTACTATAGATGAGTATGTCATCAAGATAAACTACAACAAACTTATTGAAAAAGGGAAGAAAAACCTGATTCATAAGACGCATGAAGGTGCTTGGAGCGTTAGATAGGCCAAAAGGCATTACCAACCATTCGAACAAGCCTTCATTAGTTTTGAACGCCGTTTTCCATTCATCGCCTGGTCGAATCCGGATTTTATGGTAGCCGCTTTTGAGGTCTATCTTGGAATAGATAGATGCAACTCCTAGTTGATCGAATAGATCGTTGATACGTGGGATAGGGAACCGATACTTGATTGTGATTTTGTTAATCGCCCTACTATCCACACACATCCGTCAAGTGCCATCCTTTTTAGGTGTAAGTAAAGCGGGGACTGCACAAGGGCTTAAACTGGGTTGGATATGCCCTTTGTCTAGTAGTTCTTGTATTTGATCATGGAGGATCTTATACTCACTCGGGCTCATACGGTAGTGGGGTAGATTGGGGAGGGTGGCGCCGGGTAAAAGATCGATTTGGTGTTGAATATCTCGGAGGGGTGGCAGATATGTGGGGGAAGTGGTGAGGGACGGGTATTGGTCTAATAGTCTTTGAACATTAACCTCCATTATAGTGGGGGTATGGTCACTGTCGTTCTCAAAGTGTTTAATTACCAAGCCAAGGATTGGTCCATCCTTGTTGGACAAAAGATGTTTTCCTTTAGAAAAATAGAAGAGCTGGCCTTTGTCCTTGGATTTTGAAGTATGAGAACCCGTTAAGGGTAATAAAACAACTGTTTTTCCCATCCAGGAAAATTCGTATGTATTATCCCTGCCTTTATGAGTTGCCCGAGTGTCAAATTGCCAAGGTCCGCCCAATAGGACATGACAGACGTCCATGTCAATAACATCACAGATTATTTGGTCTTTGTAGTTGTTTCCTATGGAAAGGGGCATGATACATATACTCGTAACTTGTGCCTCCCCTCCTTTTTTGATCCAGCTGATCTTATATGGTGTCGGATGAGGAGAGGTTTTTAAATTGAGAGCTGTCACTAGTTTGCTAGAAACTACATTTTCTGTGCTACCACTATCAATGATAACATTGCATACCTTGCCATTGATTGTGCAACGGGTTCTAAAAAGGCAATGACGTTGAGAAAGGACTCTGTTTTGGGTGTCAGTAAAATTCTTTCAAGAATGCAAGACAAGGGTTCTCCTTCATCGGGTTGGAGGAACAATCGTTCGTCACACTCCTCTTGATTTAACTCGGGACTATCTTCCTCGGCTTCGTCCAAAAAGTGGATACCTCTTCGCTGTGGGCAGTCATTAGACAGATGTCCTGTTTGCCCACATCTGAAGCATTTCCCTAATGTAGGATGGCTGTAAGCATTCCCAGCCTTTTTGGTCATGAAGGTTTCGTTGGCTTTGTTATCCTCTGCTGGCTTTGCCCTAGAAGTGGAAGCAGCGGTTTGGTTAATCAATTTATAAGGTGTAGGGGTTACCTTTTTGGCCGAGTCAGTGAAAGTGCGCCGTTGGTACTGATTCTTGTAGCGATTAATGACTTGTTCTTCTATGGTGACAGCTGTGGCAATGGCTTCATCGAGGTAGCCAATAGGCTGGATTTGGAGCCGTTCCTTGATGTCTGCTCGGAGGCCGCCAATGAATCTTGCCACTTGATATTGGTCATTTTCACCTAGATTGGTTCTTGCTCCTAACCTATGAAATTCCTCTGTATATTCCGCAATGGATCTTGTCCCTTGGCGGCAGTTGTGGTATTGATTATAGAGGATCTGCTCATAATTGATGGGAAGAGTTCGCATCAGTTTTTTCATTTTTTCCCACGTCCGGATGGGGTGTTTGCCAAAACGTTGGCGATTTGTCTCTAGTTGCTCCCACCAAGCTGAGGTTCCCCCTTTCAATTTGAGGGCAACCAATTTAACTTTTTTATGGTCAGGGGTGTTCATATACTCAAAAAAATTTTCGACGTTCTTGATCCATTCAAGAAACCCTTCAATATCAAGTTTCCCATCAAAGATGGGTAGGTCAACTTTCATTTTATAATCTGAAGGTTCTCTTCGATTGGGATGATCATACCGATTGCCATATGGATTAATCTCCCAAGGGGGAATGCCATCTTCATCGCTTGAAGAATTGACCACTAAAGCTCTGTTTCGATGATGACCATGCTGTCTATAGGTGGGATTATAAAATCTGGGGGTTTCTTGATTTTTCCGGTTGGAGGGAAACATTTCTGGAGGTATACCATGAGAATCAGTTGGTAAATCATGGTCAGGGTTGGCGCAACAGACTTGTTGCAGGGGAGGATAAGGAAGTGGTATTTGTTTAAGGGAGGGATCTTGAAGTGGGATGGGTTCTTGACGTAATCTTGAAGCTGTTTGCTTAGCGCCATCATCAATCTTGATCCCCTTATCACGCGCCTCCTTCCCCTTGTTGTTTCTTTGTTGTTCTTGATGCAGATGAATGTCATCCAATTTGTCAACGATTGAAAACAGTATCTGACGGATCTCAACCACATTCCTTTGGAGTGTTTTAACAGCTCCTTCAACCACCATTAATCGGTTAGTTGAGGTTCGTGGAGAGAGGGTGGATATTTCTTCCGTCTCTTTGTCGGCCAGGTGAGAATCTCCAACAGTTGGATTAGGTTTCTTTCCTGCCATTGAAAGCCCAAGACTTTCGGTGCTCTGATACCAACTTAATGAAAACCAAGAACGATTTTTATTAGAATGTCAAAAAAGTGTGTTCTCTAATGAACAGGAAAGCTCCTTTTATGATAAGGGAGCTGGAAACTAGCCGTTAGGCTTATTACTAACTAACAGCTAATAGGAAACTAGCCGTTAGGCTTATAACCAACTAACAGCTAACAACTTTAGGTTTTAACTAACAGCCTAAGTCTCACAACTACCGTCCCATAAGTCTCACAACTACCACTTATAAAATATTGGCCAAAGCATTAGTTGATAGATTTAGTAAAGTTATACCGGATACCATATCTTGCAATCAGAGTGCCTTTTTGAGTGGAAGACAAATACTTGATCCCATTCTAATAGCCAATGAGATTGTGGATCATTATAGAACTAAAAAGAAGAGTGGGTGGATTCTAAAGCTAGATCTTGAAAAAGTCTTTGACCTAGTAGATTGGGACTTTCTGTCAGAGGTGCTAAGCAGAAAAGGTTTTGGACAGAGATGGATTTCATGGATTAATGGGTGCATTAGAGACAACAAATTTTCCATCTTCATTAATGGAAGACCAAGACGAAGAATCCTTGCTTCAAGAGGCTTAAGGCAAGGTGATCCTCTTTCCCCATTCTTGTTCTTAATTGTGAGTGACGTTTTGAGCAGTTTGTTGGAACACATATACTCTATTGGAGCATTTGAAGGATTTACTATTGGTCGGAATTCGATGCATATTTCACATTTGCAATTCGCCGATGATACACGATTGTTTTGCAAAGACGATGATAATATGTTGGCTGTGTTGTTTGACACAATTAAAGCATTTGAATGGCTCTCGGGATTGAAGGTAAATTGGGAGAAATCTTCTTTAAGTGGAGTCAACATGAATACTCAGAAAATTCAGAGGATGGCTTCTAAATTTTGTTGCAAAGCTGAAAAACTTCCGTTGATTTATTTAGGAATGGCATTGGGGGGAAATCCAAAGCATGACAATTTTTGGAGTCCCATTCTTGACAAGACAACAAAGAAGTTAGATCGATGGAAGAGATATCAACTTTTGAGAGGTGGAAGGTTGACCCTTTGTCAATCGGTTCTTGAACATCTTCCATTATATTATTTCTCTCTTTTCAAGGTTCCTATGCGAATTTGCAAATTAATGGAGAAAAATGTTCGATCCTTTCTTTGGGGAGATTCTTTGAAAAGTTCAGTAAATCACTTAGTGCGGTGGGACATATCTTCTTTAGATCGAGAGGAAGGTGGCCTTGGCATAGGGAACTTTGCTAAAAGAAACCGAGCTTTGCTTGCCAAGTGGGGGTGGCGGTTCAGTGTTGAATCCTCAAGTTTGTGGAGACTGGTGGTGGCTAGTATCCATGGCTCTGACTTTGGTGATTGGTTCACTTTGACTAAGTTGACAGGTTCAAGTAGAAGCCCTTGGAGGAATATATCTAAGGTATGGAAGCAAGTGGAATCATTTTCCCATTTAAAAATCGGGAACGACAAAAGGTGTCTGTTTTGGCATCATCGATGGATGGGAGATTTTTCGCTTAAAGATAGATTTCCAGCAATCTTTAGGATCTCTTCTAATCCGTCCATTGTAGTTGCGGATGCTTGGGATAACACCAGTTATTCTTGGAGGCTGCCATTTAGGCGTTCATTGAAGGATGATGAAGTCATTGAATTGGCAAATCTTTTATCCTTGCTTTCTTCAACCTCCATCACTGATTCAGAAGATCAACGAG